CACTACCAGGTTTTACCCAAATTGTCACAGAGTGCTCTCTGTTCTGTCACCAACAAGGCTAATCATTAGCTCTCTGCCCACAGCTTCTTCTTGCCTGGTATTGCCACATCGAGGGGCGGACTGACCATTTGGAAACAGTGGACAGCACAGCAATGACGAATGAAGCAGAAGCAGGGAGATCCTTGTACTGCAGGACCTCCAATACAGCTTCCGCTCCAACAAGGAGAACAGTGGACAGCACAGCGGTGACAAATGAAGCAGAAGCAGGGAGATCCTTGCACTGCAGATCCTCCAATACAGCTTCCGCTGCAGCAAGGAGAACAGTGGACAGCACAGCGGTGACATCAACAAATCTCACTCCAAATCTGGTGAGATCAGCAGTCAGTGCCTTAAGCTGGTGATTCATGGATCAACGTTCAGCAGGGACCGTCCAAATTTTGATTCATGTATGGACACTGTGGTTGTACAGAAGTCAATCTACCAATGAACTTCTCTACAGCTACCCTGTTGAATTTCCCCTTCTTGATCAGTACCAAAGGCTATAGCCTGCAATCCTGATCACTATATTCTGACAGTTGGGAAATCTCCCTGCTGCAAAAAATACAATAGCTCATTGCGGAGAATTCCCCCATCCACATCAAGTGTGTGGATGGGGAATTGGGGAAATTTCTTAGCCCACTGGTTAAAAAAAAAACTGACTCATCTATAGACTGCCTTATATCATCTCACTCTTCAGATATACAACTATGTAGGTAGAAAACGGGTGTGCCTAGACACAAGAAGTTTGATTTCAGGAAGAATTCAAGGCAAAGGGTTATTCCTTCAGGGTCCTGCTCAGGTACAGTTAAAGTGTATGAAGGGCCCAACCTTGTTTTTACCAGTATTAGATACAGTAATTGAGGTCTACAGTCCCTATTAGGGTTTTTTTTTTATGGTGATTTTCCATTGAAATATTGATGTGATCAACTTAAAATGTATAATCAAATGTATGTGTATAATCAAAGAATAAATGGTGAGCGCAAGACAAAAAAAAAAGAAAAAATAAAGCAGTTAGCACAACGTGCAAACCCTCTGTCTCCACCAAAACAAAACACAATAATAAGAAAGTGCAGCGCTAATAAAAATGTGTTATAATCGGGAGGACTGACCATTTGGAAACTCGGGCACTGCCCGAGGGCCCGGGGTCAGTAGGGGGCCCCATGAGATGCCCCTGGTACCTTTTTCATAGGCTTTATTGAGTTTGGGCAAGGACACAGGGGCCCCATGATCCCCTATTGCCCGGGGGCCCCATGAGTTGTCAGTCCGCCTCTGGCCACATCCAGTCAGAGAGGCTACCTTTAAACTCAGCACATCTTCTGACTTTTTGCCTTTGCAATACTTTCACAAACTGGCTGCCGAGCCCTTGACAAGCCTTCATACTATCCATCCTGCATTTTTCTAATGGTTCCTGTGTACCAACCCTATGGCTTTGTTTCCTGAATATCCATGTCTGCTGCTTGCCCTGACCTCCAGCTTGTTCCTGATTATTCACATCTGGCATCTGCTCTGACATCTGGTGTTACGCTGCCTGCTCTGGTTTTTATCATGATTACCATGTCCCCACCCTACTGAATGCCAGCTGGCTGTAGGATTCTCTATCCTGGAGGATCCTGCCTCACCTTCTCTCATGTGAGACCATCTTCATACTTTATAGTAATAATAACAGGTGCAGTGCTAAATATCCAGCAATAAAATACACGTTAAATACTCATAAAACTCCTAATATCATTCAAGATGAAATGTGCGAATAATAAGGTGCAAATAAAGTGCTAATATAGTAAAGTGCTGATAACGAGATATTATTCAATCTAATAGTAAACAAGTGACAAAACAATATCTATAAATAGTGGCAAATAAGTGAAGATCCTAGTAAACTTGATCTTAAATTGGTGTTCCTCGTGCCAAATATGATTATTCGGTGATGTGCCAGGGATAGAGTAAAATTACGCACTCACCAGATGCGTAATTATAATACGCATGTATAAGTATACAGTGTGGTCAGCCGGAGGTCCCTTTAAGGATGAACACAGCCTGGTCAGGAATCCCCTTCCTCTGGGACACATGCAGTACCGCAGCCATCCTCCGTGATGGGTTCTGTGAGTTCCTGTTCACACATACATGGATGTTGGCGTGTGCCATATAAAAATGCAGGGGAGAATGTCACCAGCACACCGAGGATCACCAATATGGGTCCAAAAGTTTTAATGAACGATCACATAGTTACAGTAAGGCAACGTTTCGGAGTCTCACAGGACCCCTTCATCAGGCATCATGTCACATACACCATGCACTGTCACCTGCCTGATGAAGGGGTCCTGCGAGACTCTGAAACGTTGCCATGCTGTAATTATGTGATCGTTCATTAAAACCTTTGGACCCATATTGGTGATCCTCATTGTGCTGGTGACATTCTCCCCTGCATTTTTACATGGCACACGCCAACATCCATGTATGTGTGAACAGGAAACATAGAGAACAATTGTTTTCTCTGTGCTTTTGCGTTGAGCCTGTGTTGATCAATGCCGATCAATCACAGCACAACTGGTGTGAATGAGCCTTTAAAGTGAAAAGAAATTTCATCCAAACATCTTTAATCCTAAGGGATTGTTTAGACAAACTGCAGTGCAGGGACACTCACGGATACATGCATTTTCCTGCGCCGCACAGAAATGCACTATTGTCATTAAAGTGTTACTAAACCCACAACAGTACAATCAGTCTGTATATACAGTAAAGCATGCTTGTTATACTCACTGTGGGACCTAAGGGGTTAATCCTCTGCACTGTGTAAAAAGGCTGTTTGATCCTGTCTTCTCTAATCCTCCCCTTCTTCCAGTGTCCCCCTCTTTTCCACCGATAGGACATATCGCGTGGAGACACTCTGTACATGCCCAGTTTGGTGTGTATTGCTAGAGAGGTTTTTTTTTTTTTGGGAGAGTGCATGTGATCAGCACAGGGCCAATCAACACTCTCCAGACAGAGGTCAGGGGTCCTGCATCCTCCTAGAGCAGAATGAAAACTCCTCCTACAAGCTGTAATCAGGGCTCTGCTGAACACTCTTAGAAGACACAAGACTGCTCTATACTGCTGATAAGATATTTAGCAGTTTATATTTACTAAAATAATAGCATTTCCATGTTCTGTGTACTGTGGGAGACCGGATATAGTGAATGCAGGGTCCGGGGAGAACGGATATAGTGAATGCAGGGTCCAGGGAGACCGGATATAGTGAATGCAGGGTCCGGGGAGACCAGATATAGTGAATGCAGGGTCCTGGAAGACCGGATATAATGAATGCAGGGTCCGGGGAGAGCAGATATAGTGAATGCAGGGTCCGGGGAGACCGGATATAGTGAATGCAGGGTCTGGGGAGACCGGATATAGTGAATGCAGGGTCCGGGGGGGAGACCGGATATGGTGAATGCAGGGTCCGGGGAGACCGGATATGGTGAATGCAGGGTCCGGGGAGAACGGATATAGTGAATGCAGGGTCGGGGAGAGCGGATATAGTGAATGCAGGGTCCGGAGAGAGCGGATATAGTGAATGCAGGGTCCGGGGAGACCGGATATAGTGAATGCGGGGTCCGGGAGACCGGATATAGTGAATGCAGGGTCCGGGGAGAGCAGATATAGTGAATGCAGGCTCCGGGGAGACCGGATATAGTGAATGCAGGCTCCGGGGAGACCGGATATGGTGAATGCGGGGTCCGGGTAGAACGGATATAGTGAATGCAGGGTCCGGGAAGACCGGATATAGTGAATGCAGGGTCCGGGGAGAGCGGATACAGTGAATGCGGGGTCCGGGGAGATCGGATATAGTGAATGCAGGGTCCGGGGAGAGCGGATATGGTGAATGCAGGGTCCGGGGAGACCGGATATAGTGAATGCGGGGTCCGGGGAGACCGGATATAGTGAATGCAGGGTCCGGGGAGACCGGATATAGTGAATGCAGAGTCCAGGGAGATCAGATATGGTGAATGCAGGGTCCGGGGAGAGCGGATATAGTGAATGCAGGGTCCGGGGAGACCGGATATAGTGAATGCGGGGTCCAGGGAGATCGGATATAGTGAATGCAGGGTCCAGGGAGATCAGATATAGTGAATGCAGGGTCCGGGGAGAGCGGATATAGTGAATGCAGGGTCCGGGGAGAGCGGATATAGTGAATGCAGGGTCCGGGGAGACCAGATATAGTGAATGCAGGGTCTGGGGAGAGCAGATATAGTGAATGCAGGGTCCGGGGAGACCGGATATAGTGAATGTAGGGTCGGGGAGACCAGATATAGTGAATGCAGGGTCCTTGGAGACCAGATATAGTGAATGCAGGGTCCGGAGAGACTGGATATAGTGAATGTAGGGTCCAGGGAGACCAGATATAGTGAATGCAGGGTCCGGGGAGAGCGGATATAGTGGATGCGGGGTTCGGGGAGACCAGATATAGTGAATGCAGGGTCCGGGGAGACCGGATATAGTGAATGCAGGGTCCGGGGAGAACGGATATAGTGAATGCAGGGTTCGGGGAGACTGAATATATTGAATGTAGGGTCCGGGGAGAACGGATATAGTGAATGCAGGGTCCGGGGAGAACGGATATAGTGAATGCAGGGTCCGGGGAGACCGGATATACTGAATGCAGGGTCCGGGGAGACCAGATATACTGAATACAGGGTCCGGGGAGAACGGATATAGTGAATGCAGGGTCCGGGGAGAGCGGATATAGTGAATGCAGGGTCCGGGGAGACCAGATATAGTGAATACAGGGTCCGGGGGAGACCAGATATAGTGAATGCAGGGTTCGGGGGAGAGCGGATATAGTGAATGCAGGGTCCGGGGAGACCGGATATAGTGAATGCAGGGTCCGGGGAGAGCGGATATAGTGAATGCGGGGTCCGGGGAGACCGGATATAGTGAATGCGGGGTCCGGGGAGAGCGGATATAGTGAATGCGGGGTCCGGGGAGAGCGGATATAGTGAATGCGGGGTCCGGGGGAGAGCGGATATAGTGAATGCAGGGTCCGGGGAGAGCGGATATAGTGAATGCGGGGTCCGGGGAGAGCGGATATAGTGAATGCAGGGTCCGGGGAGAGCGGATATAGTGAATGCGGGGTCCAGGGAGAGCGGATATAGTGAATGCAGGGTCCGGGGAGAGCGGATATAGTGAATGCGGGGTCCGGGGAGAGCGGATATAGTGAATGCGGGGTCCTGGGTTTAGTGACACTTTAAAGAAAGGAAACATAAAACACTCTAAATTAACAGCCAAACATTAGTTGTAGAAAAGGGACAGTTGGGAAAAGAAGATGGCGAGAGCAATTTGGCTCCCATAGCATGGCTGTCCCTCCAAATAAAAGGACAATTAAGAGCATAATGATAATGTAGTCAAAACGCGTCAGTCGATGATATATTTTTATGCATAAGGAACGTAAGGCAAACTTGCATGTTTTTGTCCTCTCTGTACTCATAATGTGCCTCTATCCAGCTAGAGCCACTTGTCCTATCCTGGAAATTAAAAATAAATTACACAAAACTTTCAAATCACACAATTACAGTTAAGAAAAAGCACAAAAACTGACATGTTTGTAGGTATTCTGTATGTACTCCTAGTAGAGGTGAAATATAGACAAAAGCAAATTATTTCATTCCGAACCGAAATTCAGGCGAAATTTTCATCATTTGGAGATTTGGATGTATCTGAATTTCCGAAATACAATAGTAACGAATTTGAAAGAATCTGAAATAATGAAACTAAATTTCGAACGAAATAACACATTATCTGTATTAGAATCCAATTAGAAACAAATTTGTAAATGAAATCGAATTCATAAACAAATTTGAAATGTAAACATAATCCTGACTATTGCTGATTTCCTTCAAAGACTTTGTGTAGTAGTGTAAATATACCGTATTTGCCGGCGTATAAGACGACCCCCTACTTTTCCTGCTAAAATGTAGTGTTTGGGCTATACTCACCGTATAAGACTACCCCTCTTCCAATGCACACCAGTGGGAGGAATAGTGCCCCATCATCGGTGTCAGTGGGGGGAATAGTGCCCCATCATTGGTGTCAGTGGGAGTCCCATCATTGGTAAGTAGGAATAGTGTCCCATCATTGGTATCAGTGGGGGAATAGGAATAGTGTGCCCCATCATTGGTGTCAGTGGGAGAAATAGTGCCCCATCATTGGTATCAGTGGGAGGAATAGGAATAGTGTCCCATCATCATGGGGTGTCAGTGGGAGGAATAGTGCCCTATCATTGGTGTCAGTGGAAGAGTAGTGCCCCATCATTAGTGTCAGTGGGAGGAATAGTGCCCCATCATTGGTGTCAGTGGGAGGAATAGTGCCCCATCATTAGTATCAGTGGGGGGAATAGGTGCCCCATCATTGGTATCAGTTGCAGGAATAGTGCCCCATCATTAGTATCAGTGGGGGGAATAGTGCCCCATCATTGGTGTCAGTGGGAGGAATAGTGCCCCATCATTGGTATCAGTGGGGGAGGAATAGTGCCCCATCATTGGTATCAGTGGGAGGAATAGTGTCCCATCATTGGTGTCAGTGGGAGGAATAGTGCTCCATCATTGGTATCAGTGGGAGGAATAGTGCCCCATCATTGGTGTCAGTGGGAGGAATAGTGCCCCATCATTGGTGTCAGTGGGAGGAATAGTGCCCATCATTGGTGTCAGTGGGAGGAATAGTGCTCCATCATTGGTATCAGTGACATCAATGATGGGACACTATTCCTCCCACTGACACCAATTACACTTGCTGACCCCTGTTCTAGTATGGTGCTGCTGCAGTCAGCATATGTGGTTGCAGCAGCACCTCTACACTGAACACTTACCTGCTGCTCCTGCACTCGATTTTCGCGGGGCTGCTCGGCTCCGCCCCCTCGCCGGTGATTGGCCGCCTGTGTGCCTTTCCTGAGCTACAGTTGTGGCGGCCAATCACCGGTGAGGAGGCGGAGCCAAGCAGCTGCGCGAAACATCCAGTGGCCGAACTGAAGGAGCAGCCGCGCTTCCTGGACTGGATCGTCGTGGGACTGGAGCCAGGTAAGAAACAGCCCCTGCCCACCCCTGTACTTAGTGTCCCTTCCGTTGGAAGGGGGGGGGCGGCGGCGCCCCCCTAAAAAGTGTCAGTATGCCATATAACGGCGTATAAGACGACCCCGACTTTTGAGAAGATTTTCAAGGGGTAAAAAGTCGTCTTATACGCCGGAAAATACGGTAGTTGCCTTACAAAATAAAAATTTCAAATAGAATAGAATAAAACAGAATAGAATAGAAAAGAATATAATACAAAATAAAAAAAATAGAATATAATAAAATAGAATAGAATAAATATATTTGTCTTCTGAAATTCGGATTTCAAAAAGAATAGCATGAAACAGAATAAAATAGAAAAGAATAGTGTAAAACAGAAAATACTAAAAAATAAAGGAATAGGATATGAAATAAAAGAACAGAATAGAAAATAAAGGAAGAGAACAGAATAAAATATAATAGAATAGAGAAGAAAAGAATAGAAATAATAGAAGACAATAAAATGGAATGGATTAAAATAGAAAGAATAGAATAGTAACAAATTTGAAAGAATCTGAAATAATGAAACTAAATTTTGAACGAAATAACAAATTATCTGTATTAGAATCCAATTAGAAACAAATTTGAAAATTAAATCGAATTTGTACACAAATTTGAAATGTAAACATAATCCTGACTATTGCTGGATTCCTTCAAAGACTTTGTGTAGTAGTATAAATATAACTGTCTTCCAAAATAAAAATGTAAAAATAAAAAAAAAAAAATAGAATAGAATATAAAAGAATAGAATATGAAAAAAATAGAATAGAATAAATATATTTGTCTTCTGAAATTCAAATTTCAAAAAGAATAGCATAAAACAGAATAAAATAGAAAAGAATAGTAAAAAAAAAAAAACAGAATATAATAAAAAATAAAGGAATAAATATGAAATAAAAGAACAGAATAGAAAATAACTAAGAGAATAGAAAAAAATAGAATAGAATAGAAAAGAAAAGAATAGAAACAATAGAAGACAATAAAATAGAATGGATTAAAATAGAAAGAATACAGCCGTTTTCTGATAAAAAAAAAAAAAAAAAAAAAAAAAATTCGAATTTTTGAATAGAATAAAATAAAATAGTATATATCCATCGTTCGAAATTCAAATAGAATAGAATAACACAGAACAGAATATAAAAAATAATAGAGTAAATGCTTGTAAATTAATTGGATCCTCTCTAGATTGTCTAACTAGTATGTGTATGTATGAAAAAGAGTTAGGGACCTTAGATGTACGCCCCTTGAGGGTTAGGGACCTTAGATTGTACGCATGAGAAGAATGTACGCCCCCCCTTGAGGGTTAGGGACCTTAGATTGTACGCCCCTTGAGGGTTAGGGACCTTAGATTGTACGCCCTTGAGGGGTTAGGGACCTTAGATTGTACGCCCCTTGAGGGTTAGGGACCTTAGATAATACGCCCCTTGAGGGTTAGGGACGTTAGGGACCTTAGATTGTACGAACCCCTTGAGGGTTAGGGACTGATGTAAATGTACAATATATATGTAAAGTGCTGCGTAAATTGATGGCGCTATATAAGTACCTGAAATAAATAAATACATAAATAAAACGGAAGAAATAGAAAAATAACGAAAATAGAATATAAAAAAAAGGAAAAAAGAATAGAAATGAATAAATTAGAATGCAAACTAAAACTGTCCAACAAAACCCAATGCTCTGTTAGTTGCCTCCCAGCAACTAACATTCAGATTCCCCCACCATGGGTGGGTCATGGGTGGGTCATGACTTATAAGAATCTGGATGCCGTCTTTAACAAGGGGCCCCCATACCCCCCTCCATATGATGTGAATGAGTATCAGATAAGTAGTACCTCTATCAGTTCAGTAGTAAATTGGTAAAAACACAAAGAAAGTTTGACAAGTTCCTATATAAAAAAAAAATCGAAAATGTCACCCATTGTCATTCATGATGAACAACGACCGCCAAACCTGCATGAAAAAAAAAACCCAGACTGTCCATGAACAGAATAGAATGAAAAATAATAGAATGAAAAATAAAGAATAGAATAGAAAAAAATAGAAAAGAATAGAATAAATATAATAGAAATAATATAGCAGTCTTCCGAAATTTGAATTTCAAATAGAAAAATATAAACAGCTATTCTTCACAATGAATTCAGATCAATATAATATTTTTGATTGAATTCGATTCAAACACAATTCGAATCCATTGGTAAAAAATTTGAATCTGGTCGAAACTGAATGAAACAAATTGATCATGAAATGCAACAAATAAATGTTTTCGTTCTGCGCATGTCTAGTGAAATTTATTGGCTAACGTCCAGATCTGGGTTTTTGTTTCTTACATTATACTTTTTGTAATATGTAGTCATTCTGCTTTTTTTGCTACTGCACAAGGATCCTGCATATGGGGGGAGAAGAATGATTTTTCTTTTTTTTTAGCCAAAACTGATTTTGCCACAAAATGACTGATTTAGTCATTGTCCACCAAAAATTAAGTGAAAACTCTTAATTTTGCTCTCTGAGTTTGCTTGAAGCTACCATGGTGTAAATGCAGGAGGGTGTGCTGGGTATGAAATTTGGAAATGAAAATTGCCCTTATTGGGGGTACGTAGAGCCCCCGAAAATTTGAGCAACAGCATGGTGGGGTGGAGATGGAGTGGCCAAAGCAGCAGCCAAAAGGGCATCTTGGGTTTCAGTGGTAGTTGGCCGAGGGGCGGCCCTGTCCCCTAGCAGCTGCGTGTTCCCCATTTGGCCCTCTGCAGGACAGTGCAAGAGTCAAAAATTGAAACCTAGCGAAATGTTTGGCATTAATTTTAGGTCTTGATTTTCTTCCCCCCTGCAAAATGGACGCCCGGGCACGTGAAATTTTTCCAGCCTGAAAATGAATTTAAGAAAAGGACAACACATCTGCCAGTCATTATGTTTTTTAAAATTAACCTAAGTAACCTGTTGTGCAAATGATCTATTTAAGTTGGATTAGGCAGATATAAAGTACACCTTCGGGTTTGGTTAAAATTTTAAAT